CCCCCCCCCCCCCCCCGTCCCCCTCCCGTGGTCAATGTTCAAACAACTAAGGCTTGCAAAGCATGAATACCCCCCCCCCCCTCCCGTATATGTTTTCAGGAGCGAACTCGGGGCGTGGTTCGGTACAACCGGGAAATGGGAGACGTCCATCCGCCCTACGTTCATCCCCGCTGTTGCCCACATGAAGGAGCACCGGGGGGCCGAAGTGGTCGGGGTGACGGGCTTCTGCTGGGGAGGCATGATCGCCATGAAAGCCGCGTCTCTTGACCCTGACGCCGAGGGAGGCGTCAAGGCGGGCGGCACTGTGCACCCGGCCATGCTCTCGGCTGAACTCGCGCAAGACGTGAGGCATGGGGGGGAGGGGGGGGAGGAGGGGATACTCTCAGCCGTGCACGCCGTAGTAGTTACTTGTAAGACCATTGACCTCGCAGCATGGGGGACAGGCTAACGCGCTTGTAGTCTTTTCTTGGTGATGATGCGGCCTCAATGCAGGGGGGCCGTCCTTGTTTCGTGTTGTGCGCAAGTTTCTCTGGGACGATAGTGATAGAAAGTTTTGCCAGTGAGGTAGGGGCGGTGTTGATTGCAGGCCGGCGTCTCCGCATCACGCGAAAGGAAAAGAGGGGAGAGAGGAGGAAGGGATGAGACGGGGGGTACCAGACAGACAGATGAGCACCTTCTTTGGAGTCTTCTCTCGAGGGTTTCCAAGAAAATCGCGCCGTTCGACGTTCCGCTCCTCCTGGAGTTGGACGTAGTCACCGATTTGACAAGAGGTTGATTGGTCTTGGAATCCTTTGCTCTCGTCCCATCGGACATAGACGATCGCTTTTTGTTACGATTTTACGAGAACGTGCCCATGTTGATAATGCCCGGGCCTGCCATCCGCCATGCAAAACCGTTTTTTCGTATTAACCGTTTTTGTTGGGGGGGGCGGGGGGGCAGAGGTAATGGTACCCACTCTCAACCTCTTTTTCGTTTTCAACCGTTTTTGTTGTTGGCCACGTGAAGGTACCCATTTTGAAACCGTTGTGTCTTGGCTTTGCCCAAGTTCAGGTGCCCATCCTGATACCGTTTTTTCGTTTTGTTACCTATTTTGCTTTTGACCAGGTGAAGGTACCCGTGCTGATCATGCCGTCAGGGGAGGACCCCGACCACCTCCCCGTGAAGGAGGTCTTGGACAAGAAGCCGTTCGGCGACAAGTGCCAGTACCGCCGGTTCGACGACATGCACCATGGATTCTGCGCGGCCAGGTATGTATGTAGAGTTATGCATGTAGATCGGCACCATCTATATCTGGCGAAGCTCTCCATGCGATGCTCGACTAAGCATATGTCGGCGGGGTTGCCTTGGCGGCTGTCTGAATAGTTTGGGTGTCATAGCTATGAACGGCGTTTCTTCGAACAGCTTCGAACATGCCCCCATCAACGAGCGGGACAACTTTTATTAGGTCCAGCCGTATTTTCGATACCCGTTCTTGGTTGGCGTAGATAGACCGCGTACACACGGAAAAAATAAATCGAGGGGTAAGGAAAACTCCTGTAAACTTGGTTCGACGCACCGTACCTTCTTCCGGCGGCGAGCTGGGGATAATAACTTTCTTGGAGGCAAGCATCGTAGAAATTTCCTGGCAGCTCTCTTTCGTCGTACAGTCCTTTTTTTTTCACCGCTTTAAATCAGCGCGCCATGGTTCACAGCATTCCTGCCGGGTAGGATCTCCACTGGCTTTAGAACTGCCAACATGGATGGCACGGCCCGATTCTTTTCTTTGGCAACTCCCCGCTCTCCTCGTTGTCACGATCAAATTTCTTTGAATTTCTCTCAATATACTTATGCACAACATCAAACAGATATTGACGTAAACCCCGTTCGTTCGAAGGGGTGTATTCAAGTCTTGGTTATGTCTTTACAGTCACGGTTAGGGGAACCTGATACTGGGCCAATCTTACACGGCTTCAGATGTAGGCTACCCGTTCGACACATTACGCCGAAAAGAGTTGTTGAAGTCTGTGCAGTGACGGTTGAGGGTAACCTGTTGGATGCTGAGACTGGACTAAATAATCTGCCTGGGTATTGCTGTCGCTGCGCGTCAGGGGCGACTGGGCGAACGCTGTGCAAGCGACCAGGGCCGCCGAGGCTATCGACGCGTTCGTCAAGTTTTACACTGCCAACCTCTAGGCTGTACTCGTCACCCCGATGGGCAGAGCATCTGCATGCCCGAGGCGGTGTGTGTTTCAAATTGTTTTATAAGCAAGCCGACGAATATCGTCGGTATTGAATCCATGATAATGTGTGCGATGGGGCACGAGTAAGAGCATACGTAGGGCGAGAGATGGGGCGGTTCCCACTATTGTGCCGTGGTATACCCCCCCCCCCTCCCCAAGCGTTTCATTGATGCATCCTCCTCGTGATGGACTAATTGAGGCTTGGAAACAGGTCCAGGGGGGGTGGTATCTTGTGTCACCTACGGTATCCCCCAGGCATTCCTTCCGCAGTGTTGTAGCCGCAGTCACCTCGGTTGGTAGGAGGCACGTCTGATACTTTTTGCCGATGAAACCTCCGCGGTGATTCGTCTCCCTTGAACAACGGATTGATTACGAAACTCGTCCCCGGTCCCCTTGAAAACGACGTTTGTTTGTTGGGCCGTTGGTTGGGGGTTCCGTGGCATGCAATGAGGGGGAATACCTGTCCAGTAGTCCAGACAAGTTAATGTGCGAACAGTCCAGCAACGAAGGGACTTTCGGCTCGTCTGTTGATTGGGGGTTCCGTGGGATGCAACGAGGGGGGATAGCAACCCAGGTAGGCCGGATGTTATAGTGCGAACGGTCCAGCGTCCGGCTTGCCCCGGCTTCGGTGCGTTGTCCCTGCTAGGGTGCTTGCTTCTCGCGGTGTTGGGAAACTTCTTGAGGTGGTGTTGGTTTGGCTTCGTACCCTGGCCGTCTGTGAGAAGAATGCTTCCGCAGAGCCTTAGGGAAACGAGGTCCGTGCTGTAATAGCTTGCCCGCAGCAACGTATCTTCATGTTCGTGTCTGATTGAAGGTGTTTCGGAGTGTCTGTTAACCATGTCAGTAGACGTGACCACGGTTTGGTGCGATGCGGTTTTGCTTTGCAGCACAGAGAAACAACGGAGCGATTCTTCCATGTAACTTGCGTCATCGAACTTTCTTTTATGCTACAGCAGTACCGCACAAAATCAGTTGAAATCTCATTCACATATATAGGCCAGGCATCTGCGTTTTCTTCTCGTTTTTATTCCCGTTTTTCCCTCCGTTCTTGGGTCATCTTCCTCCTCTGCTCCGACACTACCTCCTTCCCCTTCCCATTCCTGCTTTGCGGCCGCCTCGGCGACCTCCCTCTCCCGCTTTTGCGTGGTGGAGTGCGCCAGAGCCTGTCCAGGTATAACAAACGTCATGATAAATGATAACTCGTCACATACTACATATGTCACAGCTTCAGCTTTATGGAAGACCACGCCGCCGTTGTGCGCCTTGGACGGCGTACGCCGCCTGGTTCGTGGTATGAATCAGCTTGTAGAAGCGGCGCTGCGCAAAACGCGAAGTACGTACCAGACGTTGTCGTGCACACAGCGATGAAGACGGTCACAATCGCAAGGCAGAGCAGTTACCGGAGCTGGAGTACCCCAATCGCTCATGAATTTGGTCAAAACGCAGCAGTAGCTTGCGCAGTTTTGGGACTACGCTCTGAAGGGTTGTGTTGAATACCCTATCTGTGCCGTACTTCTTCTGCGAAGATGTTCAGAGAATGACTCACAGAGCATGCGTAGTTGCTCACGAGAACGATGCTCGCATTCACGAAACCTGTTAGCAATACAACACCTGCGCGGGGTAATCGTCTTGTAACGATTTGGGCCACGAACACTGATCGGTGTACTTGCTTGGATGGATGTATCTGTTTCGCTTTGGGACCTCAACAACGAACACACTTGCAAAGCAACGTGTACAAAGGAGTGTTGCTAGCTAGGTTCGAGATGTTGTCTCGTCGACGCCTTTGGTTCTCGCACAGGTGTCGTCAAGCTATGGGCTGGATGGACGTTGTTACAGGATTTAGACGTGTAGACGGAACATAGAAGAGAATAATTCCTTCTAGAAGGCGCAGGGAGATATAACTCCCCGCGGACGGATAAAACAGGGGAGACAGGATCTTAGTATTATAGTAGTGCTTGAGGAGAGGATCCTGCCCCACCCAAGTCAGTCTACCTGATACCCCCAAGCCAACAGCGACTGCTGCTGCTGTTCCACACACGAGAAATATCAAGTGAGTTCTTCTTGACGGGTCTACCAGATTGCACCACGTGTGCACACCTTTACAACGTGCTGGTAGAGGATTTTGTTTCGCAGGGGGAGCGCAGTACCACCTCCAAAATCCTGGAAACACCTGGAAACGCCAGCATATTATGTTTTCCAAAGTCCAACTCCAGTACGAATCTAGAATCGAAAATTAACCGCCCGCTGCGGTCGTTGGTTGGTATACGATGTTACAGAAGTACATACGTAAGTACCTGAGATTGGAGCCCTTCGATACACTACTACAGATTTTCGGTGCGTGATTTTCCACACGATCCTTTTGTATCATCATCGAGATCGGTGAGCTATTGTTGTACTGTGTACCTGGTACTAATTAGTACCTGGTAGGATTCTACCAGGATCCGGGATTTTTAGAGAGGAGGTACAGCTGCCATCCCCCGCGCCTTTGCTGGACGTATCTCACTCACGCGCTTCGAACGCTGCCAACGAAATGTACATCGGACACTCGAGCTTGCCCATAGCCATGTTGTCGGGGGGTGGGTGGGTGGGTGGGTGGGTGGGGGACTCTCTCTCCTGAACTACACCGATAGATACACGTGTCGTTCGAGCATACAACATCCACATTGATTGCCAAAGTAATTGCGCCGCAAAAATGGAATAACAGCCGACAGCGGGGATCTGAACGAAACACCCCCTCCCCCTGGGATGATGAGCGGGCGAAACATACATACAACGTTCTCGGAATCGATCGCGCCGAGGCTCTCTACACACACGACGTGAGTTATGGCTAGCCAACATTGTTGTTGTCGTCACAACGTGTAAGTTTGTTGGGTCGATAAGCGTGTTGCTGTGCGTGAAAAGGTCGCTCTGGTTGCTCTGTGATTTTGAAAAAATGTACCTTGAGACCCACCGCGTGCGAACTGCGGACGGCCGTTTGATCTCTTCTGTAGTGTACAGTACTTCTCGAAGTGTAGTACCCCCGTGCGTACGATCAATCCGCAGACATACGCGTCTATTATACTGTACGCCGTCGTTGTGCCCGCTGGAAGCAATTAGGTGGGTTATTTGTTCATGCTTACAAGTGCTGCTGTTGGCCCAGCGCCGCTCCTACGGATGTACAGCAGTATGTATCCAGAGCAGGGCCTATAAGGAACGCGACTGGGTATGTACATAGAGCAGTCGTGGCTCCGTACCACTGAGCGTACCTTCTAAGAGGGGCTCCGATATAAGAGGGTCGAATTCGGTTGTCACGGACTCGATCCGCTATAGTATTGGTGGGTATGATAACCTCTTATACAATGACCGGTCCCTTTATAGTGGGGTCACCCCACTATAGAGGGGGGGGGGTGAGTAAAATTAGATTTATTT